TCAGAGCTGCTTCTGACCCAAAGTTTGCTGCATAAACTACAGCCTGCAATAAAGAAATATTGTTGTTTTTTTATAAAATATTTAATCAAAGTTTTTAAATCCGCACTGTTTATGTTCATATTGACTATTAGAAGTAATAGCAGTAAATATAAAACTTGTAAAAATATAAACAATATATAGAACAGAGTGGTGGTGGTACCACATATTTTCTGTTGATTTCTTTCTCTCAAATGTTCTTAAAAGTTTAAACAAATGTTTGGAAAAAAACACTCACATCACTGTAAAAACCAAAGTATATGTGGCATTCCTTGGGGTTGCTGATGGTTGGCAGATTCTGGAGGAAAAAAAATTCAAAACTTCTTCCTGGGTTAATATAGAACAATCCTCCAGTTTCTGGAGGAACCAGCACACAGTCTCCTCTCCCCTGAGGGTCGTAAAAACCATTGAAACAAACCACACAGTTTTCACTGGTGAAGTTCACCTGAAAACAATCAGAAACACAACAAATAAATCAGCNCAGCCACACGCTGTCCAGGAAGCTCACATCTGTACGACGCTCAAGAAAGCTGGCCTTCACAGAGAGACTCTCGATTTTCAGCAACAAGTACTCACACAGATCCTTTACAAAGTCCAAGTGGCTGGAGAAGTCAATGACTGAGTGTCCTGTCACTGTGCAGATGGAGTGGAGAGTGGTGGGTGGTGGTGTGGTGACACACCTGATGGAGACAGACAGAAACGTGATGAGCTGCTGCTGAGGTCTGCAGCCACCAGGGGGCACTCTACTGTTCATGTCTCTGACTGAAAACTAAAGTGTGGACCTGATGGAGGCTCTACAGCAGGGCTTCTCAAACCTTTTGGGTCTGGGGACCCCTTACAATGGTGAAGAAAATTCCAGGGACCCCCTCTTAAACCCCATGCTGTTTTAAAAGATAATTTATTGTCATTCAAACCCCTAAATGTCACGGGAATATATATATTTTTATTTAGTTTATGACGTTTTTTAT